GCTCCAGGCTTAATCGTAAATTTTCTTCTTGTGCCTCTTTCTGTGTTAATCGTTTCTCTACATCTTTCAGGTTCGTTCGTAAATTCTCAACTTGCTCCTCATTCTCTCTCAGCTGTTCTTCTACATTCCTTATCTGCGTCTTAAGATCTTCTTCCCGCTCCACTGTCACTGTCAATTGTTGTATCATCTCCGTCAACTGCTGGTCCTTTTCGGTGATCTTTTCACACAAAACTACTTGTCTCGCATCTTTTTCAGTTATTTCTTCCCTCAACCTGCGTTCCATTTCCTGAAATTGTTCTCCTAAAGTTTCATCTCCCTTAACTTTCTCCTCCAGTTGTTGCTTTTGAATCCTCAGTTGCATCCGGAAGTGTGCTTCTTGACAATCCATTTCTCTGAGCTGTTTTCGTAGCAGAATTTCTGTTGCTTCTTTTTCGATTAATTCTTCTCGTAATCTTCGTTCCTTTTCCAGTTGCCGTTCTTGCTCACATAGTGTTCTTTGGAGGCTTGCTTCTTGACAATCCTTTTCTCTGAGCTGCTTTCGTAGCAGAATTTCTGTCGTTTCTCTTTCGTTTAATTCCGCTCGCAATCTTTGCTCCTTATCCAGTTGTGTTCTAAAATTCTCTTTTCGATCTTCTCTTACTGTCAACTGTTGCTCCATCTTCTGAATTTGTCTCTGAAAGTTTTCCGCATCCTGATGCTTTCTTGAGAGCTGATTGCTTAACAAAACTACTCTAATTTCTGTTCTTGTAAGTTCCTCTCTTAATCTCTGTTCAGTGTCACTTAATCCTGAACAAAAATTCTCCTCTCGTCGCTCTTCCTCTTTCTCTCCGTCGTGGAATCTAACAGCTGTAATGGAAAAATCTTCCTGGTAGTCCTCTTCGGCAGCCTGCGTTTGTTGAAGTGCAGTCTCTTGCTCTTTCTCACTTTCTTGAAGTGCTTTGTTCAGAAAAGTTTCTGGTTCCTCTCTTACTTGCTGTTTCGAAATACCATTGTTTTGATGCGTTGTTTCTTCATCCAACCTTGCCCCAGGACCAGGACCCGTTTCTAAGAATCAATCCAAATGGCAAATCTCAGCACTAAACGGGCCAAGCATCATTTAATCTATCAAAAAAATCTCATGTGGACCCAAAAGCGCGACAAATACCTAGATAATGATGATAATTCAAAATCTATAGGGCACCACTGAAGTTCAAATGTCCAAGGCGCTACATAACCAAACAAAATGAGACATACAGCATTTATCAAGTACTGAATATTTTATTGTAAACGGTTAACATGACAGGTAACCAGCCATAAGTATCCTCAATAGAAGAATAGATGAATTCCCAGGGCTGCGAAGAAGTGATACATGTATTTGACGTGAAAAAAAAAAACAGTGATGGCGATGTGTTTCGGCAGGACAGTGATTTTAGCCCTGATAATGAGAGCTTTTATCTATTGTCGCTGTCAAAGTCCTTGATAATTAGGTTTTTGTGCCTTTGTCTCATACATAGATAACTCTACAGCTCACCTGGCACAATTGGCTTTATGTTCAGAAGATTAGTGTTCCTTACCTGATGAATCATCGTCGGACTGCGAATCGAATTCCTCAGAACTCTCTTCCGGTGTTTCAGGCTCTTCAGGTTCAGCGTCAAACTCTCTCTCTAGCATAACAGATTCCAGAGGAATAAACATGGAAAAACCATCTTCACAAGTGAATAGCTGTCTCCCATTCCTTCTTCCACATCCACCTATGCTGAAACTTTCGTCCTACCCGAAGTTCAAAAGGAATTTTACTGCCGTAATTATTTTTACCAGAATATCACAAAGTCGCTAGAAAACCTACGCAGCTATACAAGAGACAATTTCTACCTTCTTTCTTTTAACCAATACTGCAGATAACTTATTTGTTTTCTCACTAATTTGCTTTAAGTTGTTAAAAGCTATCAGCATTTATAAAACTACAACACTTTACATGCAAAACTCCGAGAAATGAGTATATGGCTGCTTTTCAGCCTCAAGTGATGGGAAAGTGTTCTCTAAAGGTATCAGGCCAAATTGCTGCCAATCTAATACGAGACACAAAGCAGCAAATCTTAAAGCCAAGTCATTCCTGAAGATAAAACATAACCTATCGGTAAATAATAATAAAAGCAGGTGGCACGAATCTTGTTCAAATGGCTGGCCGCTAAATCTTTGCATGAGGTTCAGGAGCTAATCCTCTCAGAGAACATTATTTTCTTAGGTCATGTAATATATAAAGACGGCATCAGTACCGTATGACTGAATGTTAAACATCGATACTTGTTCTATCACTTCTCTTTTTCACAAACAAAATTCTTATAAGTGCAGGCCTTACCATTTCCAAGCCAAGAATCTTTTGAACATTTCCATCAGCGTCTTTCTCCTCATCAATATGACGAACAGTCCCTCTGGATACATGGTCCTCGATAAAGGTCACAACTCTTTGATTGACTTCAAGTTCTGGGTCAATTCTTTCCTTAACTTCACCTTTTCTTCGAAAAAGCCATGACAGTCTTGACTGGCTACCAGACGTCAGGTTATTCAAACCCAACGATTTTCTCCAGCCCGGATTTCCCTTGGAGCAATTTTAAGAAGATGCTTGAGAAAAAGTAACACGATTTTGTATTTATTATAGCCGCGTGTAAGGTCAAACCTTCCTCAGCTTTGAACACCTTACAAGAGGTTTTAACATGGAGGTGATCAGTTGTCTACTTACTGATGAGTGCTGTTCTGATAGATATAAAAATCAGAGAAGCATACAAGATACTCAATTATTCTTACATTTTTAATTTCAGGGACAATTGGGCCAGTTAAAACACTTCATACGTAGTATTGGAAAATACTTTTTAAAAATTGCACGTCGTAGGTAAATGACAAAATACAACATGGCCTGGGTTAATTATAGGAAACAACAAGACAATTAAATTGTAAGGCTGATATCAGAGTGGTAACTGATAAGTAAAGGGCTTTATATTCCTGGTGTTTGACGGTAGTCGGTTGTGTGGTCTGAGCGTCCAATTGAGGGTAGCCCTCCACGGGACTGGCGTTGTTACGTGACGTTTTGACAAATTCAATTGATAACAAAATTGATCATTGTCAAAAGCAATCCGCTGGAAGTGCCTGGCGGCTTGGCTATGCCTCACACTTTATGTAAACAAAGTTTGAACTTTTTATTTTGACGACTTTCTCACGGTTTTCTTCCAACTTTCTCCCCTCTACATTATTGATCTCACAGCGAAAATGCCCCAGCGTACCGTCGCTAACTGAGCTGACCTTCAAGCAAGTTATGAAGTGATACTTCTAAATTTCATTAGGGCGTTGAGCAGCTTGTTTTGTTTGGCATGCCTGCAGTGTCCCTAGGGGTTTATTTTAAAAATGGCTCTTCATAACTGTTGAAAAGTGGAATCAAAAGGCACGTGACTGCAATTGTACAGTAAGTCTTGATACGTGCATCTACCCTATTTTTGGACAAGGAAATCGAAACCTCGAATCGCAAAACTCAAAATCGACACTAGACTTGGCAAACAGTGGTTATTACAACTGAAGGGTTTCACTTGCCTGCCACACAGCCCAATAATTTATTTAGCGACTAAGTATTTTCCTGAGGCTTTGGCAATAAAAATATAACGGCGTAATATGCGACTAACACAGTCTATATACTGTAAGATTTTACGCTACTAACCCAGTCGGTAGATTAATTATAATAAATTAATATATAATGAAATTATAT